GCTTCTCAGTACACCAGTGATTCAGCCCCGTACTAGCATTCGGATTTGTTTTTTTATGTTCTGGTGCACCGGTCTATAGATTGTGGAAAGGGAGCCTGTTGAAGCGACCTTCCTTCGTGAACAGCATGAAATAATTCCTTGAACCTACATTTGAGGACACTAAAACGCAGCGCGCAAGGGGGCAGTGATGTGATAATGTTTCAATTACGCAAACTTTAAAACGAGGCAGGTAAAAATTAGGCAATGGAGTTGATTTGATTGATTTGTGGGGTTTAACGTCCCAAAACCACCATTTGATTATGAGAGACGCCGTAGTGGAGGTCTCCGGAAATTTTGACCACCTGGGGTTCTTTAACGTGCACCCAAATCTGAGCACACGGGCCTACAACATTTCCGCCTCCATCGGAAATGCAGCCACCGCAGCCGGGAGTTGAACCCGCGACCTGCGGGTCAGCAGCCGAGTACCTTAGCCACTAGACCACCGCGGCGGGGCAGCAATGGAGTTGTGTTACCGCATAACGAAAATTTTATTTTTTTTCCGTTAAACGCTACAAACTTCAGAATAAAGATTTTTTCTAGAGTCACTGTTACAATGTTCATTGTCTAATGTTTGTGAAATGCAAAGCTTGACAGACTGAAAAAAAATTTGACATGCTCTATATGGCTCAGAAGCATACTGAACTAATAAGAGACGTGTAGGGCTCTTGTATAATTTTTTTCATTACTTGGTGATTTTCCCTAAAACACCCTGTTGACGATAGCACATGTAAACTATAAGGAGCAGTGCGTGGTGGACACAGCACTGCAATGTGATTCGCAATGGCACAAACAAATATATCCTGTTAAACTAGAAACCGCGGCTCTGTCCAATGATATACTGCGAGACAGCACTTATCAGATTCATTGGCGTAGTGCCAAGCGTACATAGCCAGGAATTGTACTTTGCGATTCAAAAGACAAAAAGAAAATACGACAAAAGTAACACTTTTGTGGCAGAATGGCAGCCCACATAAACAGGGGTAATTTATGGCAGCACGGAACTGTGCATGCGCTGTATATATATATAGTGAAATTCTAGGAAGCGTTGCTATAATATGCAAGCACGCTGGACAATTCGCCAGCGCTTTTGTTTAGACTTCTAGAAGCCACTTTCAACTTGTAAAGTAATATTTACTCACGCACTTCATGTTTATATTTTGAAGTGAGTCCAACTTTTAATACCGTCGCCTTGAGTAATTAGAATGTATGTCTCATGGTGGGAACGTGTCTATGTATCGGCTAATGAAGCATAGAGAGCGCATGCGCGTTGTGATCATCGAACCGGTACGAAAATGCATTGTTGGTTTCTATAAATCCTTTATACATCAGTCATCAAACTTTCCCGTGTAATCATTGATGCTTGCGTAAGTTGGAGCGCAAAATTGACTACTCCTGTCCTGCAAGTAGCCTTAAACAGAACAATTGATAACAATCGCGAAACTGGCCAAACATTTTGCTGCTGCCTGCGTCGAGTGATGCTTACACATTTTCTGGTATCCTCTTCCGGGGGTGCACTGAAGTATGCGGGACGGAGTCAGTTTTATTTTTTCTATTGTTCGTTTCTTGTCATCACTTCTAATTATTCTTCTTACGTGGAGCCACTCCACCTTTTGATGATGATGATTACCTATATGCATGGCTCACGCCCACTCTTTGGGACTAGCCAAGATACGAATTATTTATAAAAATAAGTCTCCACTTAAAAACTGTAAAACTAATGACCTATATCATACTTAAACTGAATATGACGCCAACTTATATAGTTCAGATCAACGCCACCTTAATTAGTTTGAAAAAATTTACCGTAGAATAGCGGTCTCAGTCGCAATACGATCAGGGGCTCCTAAGGATAGAATATTTGAAATGACGAAATTCATTCTGCATTCGAATAAACACAGTTCTTAGAATGTTTCCGCTCAGTAAGCTCTGTAAGGTGAAATAGTTTTCAGTTGTCTTGTCCTTGTTAGAAGACTACACAAGAAGGGAAGGTGCCAGACCATCTCTGTGCGTGTATATAGTTCGAAATTTCAGAACGTGAGAGCGCAATTTTATGAAAATAACTGAACCGTTTTTTGTGTTGAACAGAAATTCCTACGCCAAGAGAACAAGAGGTGTCTATAGTCCTTTAGCTGAGTGGGGAACTACTTCACATGCCACGTCAAGTTATTTTTCACCTTCTCAATCTGTCGCGAATCATGAGGGTTGTAGTCAGAATAATGATGAATATCCAACCACTGAGAGAGCCTTTGTTTCGCGTCCGCTTTTTTGCCATTTTGGTTCATTTTTTGGCTTGGTACCCGGAATAATCTCGTTAGAGTTACGTGGGTAGGGAACATAAAGTGAGAAGTTAGTGATATAATTGAATATAATAGTGATAACAACATCTAAGATTTTGCGTCGCAAAGACACGTGATAAATTAGAACCGCTATTTTTGCGAGTGTCGAACACACGGGTAAATTATCTGTAACTATGGTCATACTTTAGGTTCATGCGTTTAGCTCTGAGCTTTCGTAGGGCCATTCCGCCGAAGAAACCGACGAGAAATCCGGAAGTCTTATTGAAAATGAACAACGGCAGGTCTCAGAAAAAATACCAATGCCGTCATTCTTTTCAGAGTAGGGGGCATCTGTAGCTATGATATTTTTTCACATTTATCCGCTCTAAATGCCTCTGCAGAAGTTAGTTTATTATATGGCTAGGCAAAATTTCTGCATGATTTTGATATATAACTTGAAAAACGTTTTTAAGGATCTGTCTTTCGTTGCTGATGTAAGGAACTTCACTCAGTTTCACATCTAATGGTTCAACAAGTGCTTCTACAAAGCCAAGCCACGCTGTACAAAACCAAAGTCAATATGAAAGAAGAAAAAATACCTCAAACTGATGTACACGTGAAAATAACTTTCATTTTCATACAATTCCAATAAATCTTTAGCAATGATTGCATAGTTAGTATCCAAATCTGCACAAAAGAGAGGACAACCTCGCTTCTAAGTAGATGAGATTATTGGCTGTGAATTTCGGTAATCCAAGGAGAAAATTTGGGCCTCCCTTTCCACGCATACAGTAGAATACAACTTTTTAGCTGGCGCACCAGATTATAAAGGTCGTTTAAGTTTTATTACGGGGCTAACCCGCTCGTGTCCTAGAAAGCTGCATGCATGTAAATTTTGTAAAACATATTTAGTGATTCTCTCCGTGTCCCTGATCGACTGCTGCACAGCCTTTGTAAGACTCTCAGTGCTCGCATTGCTTTCTTAGTCGTATGCCAAAAGGAGGAGGTTATCATAAGATATTTCCAGATATTTTACCGAGTTGAACTGCTATATCTTCGGCAGGTTGCCACTTATTCCAGTAGTAACTGGGTTATTCAAAGGTAAAGCGGTAATTGTATTTTTGAAGCAGCAAGACATCAATGTGTAGCCTGCAACCGAATATTGGATTCTCCCTTATACGTTTGTATGAGAATATATATCGATTCTATATCACTGTCTGAAGCAAAAAATGCTATACCATCTTCATATAAATGTGTGTATAATTTCTCATGACTGGGAACAATGCTTAGCGATATATTAAAAAGAAGAAGCTAGGTGACTGCTTCCTCAGGAACTCCTCGTAACCTGGAATGTATATTTGAAAAATGACGCTTTAGTAAACAATAAAACTTCCTCCTTATATAAAAACTCTCTAAAGTACTTTAGCATATAATTAGAAGTATCATAAACTTTTAAATTATCCAATAATATTCCATGTTCTACTCTTTGGTAAGCTTTTCTCTGAGATGATCATTGTTGCTTTTTCTCTCTTTTTTGTTGCTCGCGCGGGTAGAGACTACAGTGTGCGTAGCACGCGGACCCGACAGCGTTGACAGGCTGACACGGGCGCGTTTGACAGCGGGTTTGATCTCGACGTAGACGGAGGTGCTGTTGCACGGTTACTTTCAATCGCTGTGTGGCTAATCTCTGAACTAAACTCAATTCGTACCAGCCCTGATGTCGAGAGAAAATGTCCGCGCGACACCTAAATCATAGTGTGGTGTGACAGCAAGGTTTACTGCGTGCCATTTTTGAGGCACAACCGCTTCGACGGCGCCAAGCTGGAGGTGCTAGCCTCATTCCGACAAGAACTGAAAGAAAACCAAAATACATATCTTTAAGTTCGTTTTTGTACTCTCATTTTTAGCGTTCTGAAAGTTATCCAGTTTTACTTTATCGTAACGCAAGGAGCAAGCAAGCAAAACCTAAGTAGCGCACACAAAAAAATCGGTTACTGTACAACCGCAATGTCCTCTTCATAACCAAGCACGATGCTTGGCGCTCAGAGAACGCGAAACCCTCATATCAGCACTACTGTCTAATAGCCCCACTGATACGGCTGCGCAGAAACTAACAACTAACAAACAAAAAGATTTACAGTTCTGATGCACCAAGGGTGCGCCTATGGCAGCCAGACATTTCGTGCGGAATGCTGCAAGCTGTCCGGCACGATATGCCTAGAAAAAACTATCCATTCATTGAGAGTCGTCGCCGTCGAGATAACGCTGACACACCGCACTCTTTAAGCTACGCACTGAGGTGAAGCGACAATCAAAGAGCGTGTGCACCGTTTTTTTTATTGTGTTTGGTTCATTGCTACGTCGCTGCATAAGTATTGGCGGGACGTTTTAATTATTTAGGGTGAATACGCCATGTGGTGTCGTTCATGTGAACTAAACCGCTCGTGTTCAGAAAACTTGGATGTGATGTCTGTGGCCAGTTTGGACTAAGATCTTGATTCATTATTTTTGAGTCCAGTTAATACCAGCAAAAGCTATTTTCTTCCGTTTCATGTTTTCTATTGTGACGCCACAAATCTGGCAAGAGGCTAAGAAAAAAAATCGCCTCATATACTATAAAACTTCCACGATGTGTATCAACCTGGCAATATTACTTAACCTGCTTCTTCCTTTGTTTGATCCCAGGAATATTTGCAGTGAATTTGTGCTATGTGGGTCCACATATGTGCGCATCAGCGCATTTCACCAGCGTGGATGTTCCAGGATCTGAGGTCGAGCACTACCCGCCAGTACTATGGGACGATGTAGACCCTTATGTTTAAAATAAAAAAAAAGCTAACATAAAGAATGATTTGCATGTATGCTGCGTTACACACAATTTGATGATCACACATTGTAAACATAAAACAGTGTTAAAGGGATTTTGAAACACTTTTTCAAGTAACCGTGTTGCATATCATGTCGAATATGAAGGTATGATACCCTTAATACGAGCCCACACTCTCTTGTAGAACCTATTGTGAATAAAAGGCTATGAACAAGTTGATTCATATTCTTTCAACATTACCAATGCTCATGATTTGATGGCGAATTTACGAACATGCCGCAAAACAAAACATTTGTGTGCATTCACTTTAAAATTTTCATTCGAGGTTTTATAGGCAGCATTTGCAATTAGTGCGACAATATTATAATTTAAGACCGCGAATATATACACAAGTATATAACTATAAATAGTTATATAACCAATCGACTTTGAAGAACATATCGTGAAATACCAATGGGCACCGTACTCTATTTTCTCTCTCTCTCTCTCTCTCTTTATATATATATATATATATATATATATATATATATATATATGGGATATGGCACAACGGGAGCGTTGTCAACAAGGATAAATATATTTATTTCCCAACAGTTTCGGGAGGGGACCTCCCTTCATCAGGGGATGAGTTATAACTCATCCCTATAACTCATCCCCTGATGAAGGGAGGTCCCCTCCCGAAACTGTTGGGAAATAAATATATTTATCCTTGTTGACAACGCTCCCGTTGTGCCATATCCCATACCTTCACGAAGACTAACTGGCCCATTGAATTATTACTCCCACTATATATATTTATACATATATATATATATAAATATATATATATATATTTGACTCAATAATAAGGAGATCTAACAGACACGAATGCAAAGGAAAGTATAGGAGAAGTTATTGGACCGAATGGTCCAGTAACTTGGTGGCAAAGCATGGTGGCAAAGCAAATAATATTAATGGCAAAGCAGCAAAGGTTCATCTATCAGGGCGCGAATGGTAATCACTCATTGAATATCCGGGCACATATTTTAATTTGTGTACAAGCGTATTGTATACTAGCTCTCATTACTTTCCGATAATGTTATGCAAGAACACTGACGGAGACCCGGGTGTGGTAATGTGTAAATTAATGAAAAAGCCAACAATATCTGAAATTGTGAGCTGATGGCCTCTTAAAGAAGTTTTGACTCTTTGGACGATATTTCTTTTACCTATCGTAATAAATATTCTACTACTTATGCATTCACATATGAACAATAAGTAAATTGATATTGACCACGTGTGGGCTCTTCATACAGCATTAGAAATATCTGCCAGTGCTTAAATTGGAAGCAAGCAAAAGAAAAAGCCAAGCCTCCACTGAAAGCGCAGCCCAGTCACAACGAAAGCTGGAAAATTGGCATTTCCGGATCCCGTTACAAGCTCTCTTCGGGCTACTACTACAAGTACAATTACATGGTAACTGTTACTCCACTAATAAATACGGTGTCTGATGTGGATGGAGAATTAATTATGACTAATTCGTTTGTAAAAGATTGGAGGCATTTAACTGTTCATTTGTTAGGCAATTCGCAATGCGGAATGCGTGGTTCCGCAATTCACTTTCTGTGAAATATCGTTTGTTTATTTGCGAAGCATTTCTTTGCGCACAGCAAGCATTTTCAGATCTATCTATCTATCTATCTATCTATCTATCTATCTATCTATCTATCTATCTATCTATCTATTATCTATCTATTATCAAGCCACCAACATCTGGGTGCTCTCTTGATCATCCTTTCAACCTGGGGTACACGAAAGTTAGTATGAGAGGGTGAGATGATTTGACGAATACGGCACGCCAGTCATGCCGTGAGTACTGTCACAATCTTGGCGCGTAGGTGATGAAACGCTTTCTGAAAGACAGTGGCCAATACTCAGGGGTGGGTGTATGTCACTGTTATGTGGGTAAGGAACACAGGTATTATCCACTTTATAACTACTCAGGAACGGCAAGAACACACAAGGGTAATTTTAGCGCTTGCAAGTTGAGAAACCACTGGCATAGGCAGCGTTGGCTGGCTGAACGAAAAGAATAAATGTCCCACCAGGAATCGAGCCGCATAGTTCTGCGTGGCAATCAATTATTCTACCACAGAGCTGGTAAACCGAAGAACAGTAAAAAAAAAAAAACAAGCGCATTCGAAGCCCGCAAGTGCGAAGACGGCAAATCCTACGCACCATTCCCGTGGTCAATTAACGGCCTCCACGCCAGAGTTTCTTATAGTTAATTATAGAAAAATGTATCCCTGTATTCACAGAGTATCTCTGGCAAGCGACGGGTTACGATGATGATAGTTTTCTGAAAGGTCGCATAATGGCACATGCCCGTTTCTTTAGCTAACAGTTGCCCGATTTCTTGAGCACATATCCACTTAATTATGAGATAAGGCGTGCCACTTACGGCTAACTCAAACAACTTCACTGCTGAAACTTCTTGAGCAAAAAATGCGTATAAAAATATTTCAAACAACTCCTATGCGGCATATGTCATTAACACAGCCCGCTGACCAATTGGAAAACGTACTTGCTAGATCGAAGTTTTGTAAAATTGATACTGTTTCTGAGTGTAACAAGCTAAGATACAGCTCATCCTATTACATAGTGAAGACAACCGAGTGCACCAACGTTTGTGAACCCGTATTGTGTTTATTTTAAATACCTTAACCTAGAAAGAACAGCGTTAGATCTAGTGACGGAGAGTCACGTCATGATGCCGTTTTTCCCATCTAAAACCCCAGGATGCTTGTCTGTGTGCTGCCAAATGTATTTTCTTTTATCTTAAGTCTAGACTACATCGTTAGATTGTGAGCAGCACTGCGTCACAATTTCCTACACTACACAAAATTTTATTGCTCTTTAGCTTTCTTGACACTCCAGAAAAGTAAAAAAAAAACGATTATGCTAGCACAGTATCTTGGTTATGCGGCCAAACTTTAGCTAGTTATAAACAATGGAATCGAAAGCATAATGAATACGCATATTTTTACTAAGCTGTTTTTTGCGTGGTAAGGCGTTTTGAATATATTCACTAAAGTATGACGAATGCTCCTGTAGAAGTTATGTATTTTCGCTCGCGAAAAAGTATACGTAATTGGCTTTTTTCACTGGGCGCATTGAAAAATGAAGTTTTTTTTTTCAAAAGGGCATATGTTATATCAATGCTTCTCAAAATAATGATTGTTGTATTCCTCCACGACTCTTGCTGCTATTGTATTGCGCTGAAGAGTAATTTGAAAGACACGTCCTACGTAAAGGCACATGGCCATTACACTGCCCGCCACACCAGTGCTACTTAGTGATTTGGACGGTTTTCATTTATAACATCAAAAGGGACTCACAACTGTCGCTCCGACAAGACGTATACTCCTGCGTGTCATAACAAAAATTGACAAAAGACACCTGTGAAGCATAGCTTGGGCTGTCAAAAAGCCCTGCATTCGTTGACTGTGAGTCATCCTCGTTTCCAGACCAGCCGTTTTTTTTTTCAGCGTACGCAGCACTTAGAATTTTAACGCTGTTTTTTTTATTTGTTGCCGCTTTTAATACTGCCATAATGCCTGCCGGTGGCGTAGCCTGCATTTTTTTGTGGGGGGAGGGGGGTCTCACAAACTTGACGGGGGGAGGAAGCACAAGTATCAGCTTTTATATGTGACGTCACTATCGGCTGTAGTATAAACAGATGGTGCACATGTCTATCAAGTCGTGAGATTCCCCCTCTCCCCTTGTGTAAGGTGGGAAAGAGAGTAACTAAAAGTACTGTAGGAATGATTGATATATATGTGAGGTTTGACGACCCAAAAGCTACACATGATTATCAGAGACGCCGTAGTGGAGGGATCCAGAAATTTAGACCACCTAGCGTTCTTTAACGTGCACAAACATCTGAGCAAACAGGCCTCCAGCATATAATTCTCCATCAAAAATGCAGCTGCTGCAGCCAAAATTTCATCCCGAGACCTGCTGGCCAGCAGCCGAATACCTAAGCCACTAGACCGCAGCGGCGGTGCGGTACTGTAAGAAGTACTCTAAATACACAAAACGACAGGTGCAGTGACCGATTGGAGAAACGGCCTCTAGCCGCACCATTGAATGGACTAGGGTTTAAAAACTCATTACTACGATTACCCACCCGATCGAAGAAGACATCGTTAATCGTTAATCTTTGTTGACCGTAGATAGTGTAGTCCTCATCGGGGTTAAGTGCGTTTGACAGATCAAAGAGGGTTCAACGTACAGCGAGGAATCAGAAGTATAGGCAGCATGCTTTTGTACATTCATATTTCCATTGTGGTTTTGCTTCCCTTGCTGAGCGAATTTCTTACTGTCAATGTCTATGACTTCAAGCCTATGAGAATGACCTTTATAATATTTTCTATTAGTCAATCTTCCCAGACACAGTGTAAACCTTTTAGTAAAGCTTTTTGTAAGACTTTTAGTAAACCTTTTTTTTATTTTAACGGGTGCATCTAAGTTTGCTTGCGATACATATTTAAGTATTTTTTGGAAGATCTGCTGCATGTTTGCAACACCACACTGCACACGTTATTTTTCGGGCAGAAGTTTAGTTGCACTATGACTATAGATAGCAATGAAGTACTACAATTGTAGAAGATTTATTGTGCAATCTGCGAGGGAAAGTAATCATTGATGAGAAATATTCTTTGGTCTCAATCAAAAGTGCACGTGCGGTGGGACTATACCTATTCACATAATACTCGGTCGCTGCTCATTTGCGCTAAAACACTTGAATACGCGCAAGAAACGTGGTGTATTCTCGTTTTTTTGTTGCTCTTTTCACTCGGTTTCCTGAAACGATAGCGTTGTGACAAGGTTTCAATGATTGTTTGCAAGCGTGCAGCCGACTTTTCTCTATACATGAACAGATTCAGAACTGTAGAGTCTTTAACCACGCAGCATACGTCTATTCATTTTCCAGCGCTTACACCAGCTTGAACAGAAGAAGCCTCAAACCATACACAATCTGCAGTGATCGGTTTGCCAGTGATGAAGGAATAAACTCCAGAGTTGCTCAGAGCACAGCGCACCTTAATCCATTTCACAGAACGCGCAAACGCCGACGAAAACTGCCTGCGCATGCAACACGAGTTTGTTTTACTCTCTAGTGTGCACCGTCCATGCCTGTTGGTTGTCCTTTTCGGGCATCCTGGTGAGAGTCGCTG